TCTACCCCTTTTGCTTTTCGCCCGACGCCCTCACGTGCGCCCCTCTCACTTCGGGTCCGTACCCCTCAGCCAGCGCGCGCCGCCGCCGCGGCCCCGACGGCCGGTCAGCACATCCCCGTGAACGGTGTGGGGTTTCGGGGAGCGAGTGGATGCTCATGTTGTGGTGGGCGTGCGCTGAGTGCGCCGGGGCGTCGCGCGCACCCCGGCGGCGCTCTCGTAGCCACAAGCCAGCCAGCAAGGCCCGGGGGCGCCGCCTGTTTTGTTCAGTCATTGTTAGAGAAATCTGACCGGCCCCTATCCGCATGCCACTGCGGGACGCGGCCACGAAAGGTGTGCACACCCCAGTTCCGGCGGACGCAGCGAGCGTCGGGACTCCGTCCCAGCAGACGAAGTCTTCCTCGTGGGCTCCACGGCCCGGATCGCGAGCTCGATCGATACGCGACGCGCTCGGCCTCCGCTGGCGGCTGCCGCAAGAGCGGCTGGCTCACGGCAGCGTCTCGCCGGTTGCCGGATAGGAGAGTACAGAACGTCTGGAGTGTAACTGTGTACGTGAGATCGGTTTTGATAACAAGCACGGTCGATCCGTCAAAGCGATACACTCGTTCCTATCTCGCTGGGGGGCTGGCACGGAGCTCTGTGCCGACAAACAGGAAGAGCCGAGCGGCAAGAAGGGCTCGATGGGGAGCGAGAACCGTCAGAAGAGCTTGAGGTGTAACCTGAAGTCCGTCGTGACGCTCTTGTTTCCCCCCAGGTTTGACCGCGCAGCTTCCAAAACTCGACGATATCTTCCGGAAAGACTGAACCTCCCGCAGAGCGGCAGCATGAGAGGCGCAGAGAGGCTGCGAGTGCTCGACGAGTCTTGCGAGCTGCGCGTTCAAACCGGGGGGGAACCGACTGCATCAGGGTGGACTTCCGAAACCTCCGTGAGCACGTTTGACGGTTCTCGCTCCCCATCGAGCCCTTCTTGCCGCTCGGCTCTTCCTGTTTGTCGGCACAGAGCTCCGTGCCAGCCCTCCAGCGAGATAGGAACGAGTGTATCGCTTTGACGGATCGACCGTGCTTGTTATCAAAACCGATCTCACGTACACAGTTACACTCCAGACGTTCTGTACTCTCCTATCCGGCAACCGGCGAGACGCTGCCGTGAGCCAGCCGCTCTTGCGGCAGCCGCCAGCGGAGGCCGAGCGCGTCGCGTGAGTTGAAATCGATGTGGCGAGTCGACCGCCAGTCCGCACGATGGCACTGCGACCGCGGCGGCTGCCGGCGAGGGCAGCAGCGGCGCGCGCGAGGCGGCAGCGTAATCGGGTCCGAAGTCCGGACCCGATTTGGGGTCTACACGCCTTCTCCCCGAGTGGGGAGCCCGAACGCTCCCGCGGTGGTTCTCTCCGAAGGACTTGGGTCCATCCTTGAGCGACCCAGGGAGCCCAAACGGGGTGAAAAATATGGAGTCGGAGGTTGGTTGGCGCGGCGAGTTTATCTCTGTACACGACGTGCTCCTCGCCGTCGCCGCCTGGGAGGTCGTCAACCGCGGATCGGCCGTCGCGCTCGCTGCGCTGTGTCGGCGGCGCGGGTTTATCCTCGCCGCCGGCGACGCATCGAAGGTAATCGCGCAGGTGTCTATATTGGCAGCGGCCACCTCGCGTCTCAACACCCGCAAGTCTCTCACCTCGCGCCGTATCCATCTAGGGGCCGTCGTATGTCGTGTCGTTTTTCCACGCGCTGCTCGTGACGACCCGAGGCATGTGGCACGTCGCGCGCCTCCTCCAGGCGCCCCTCTCTGCCCAGCTCAAGATCCCGGCCGACCCCTCGGATCCGTGGTATGCCGCAAGCGGCTCGGAGATCAAGCAGACAAACCTTCTCTTCGTGTCGTTTCTGCTCAACGACCTTGGCCATATGCTCCTCTCCCCGGCCCTCAACGATACCGCCCTCGTCATCCACCACCTCGGGTTCATCGGCGCCTCCTTCATCTGCGCGAGCTACCGCTTTTTGCCGCTGCCATTTTCCTGGCTCATCTGCGGTGAGGCCTCAACGATACTCCTCAACGTCCGGTGGGGCCTTCTCGCATCGGGCCGCGCCGAAACAACTGCGATGCGCGTGGTCGAACCAGCCTTTGCCCTCCTGTTTGCCCTAGCGCGCGTCATCGGCTACGGTGCGGGCCTGGCGCACCTCTGGTTCCACCGCGAGCGGGTGGGGGAGGGCGTGCCCTCCGGCGTCGTGCGGTCACTGTTGCTGCTACTTCTCGCTGGCTACGCGCTCAACCTCAGCTGGATGCGGAAGATCGTCGCCATGGGGAGGAGCAGGAAACGCCGAGCGTAGTCGTCTCGGCGAGACGCGGTCGCGCGGTTTGCATAGTGTCGTTTTACCGGGTTCTCGTTGTTTATACGTGGCTGGGTCCACAGCGCCGATTGTAGGAAAATTGGGGGAACACTTGACGGTCGCGGCCTTCCGACTCGCGCCTCCGCCTCACTGGCACTATTGCAGCCCTAGCCGGTGCGCGTGTGGAGTTGAAACTCCGGAGTAAAAATTCGAACGCGTTCTCTCACGGTGACCAAAAAATGTCCACCTCAGAGGCACCTCCGGAGGCAGGCCGCCGCACGCCGGCGACACAGCTAGCTGTCGAACTGACCCGCAGCTCCTCTCAGAGCGGGAACTGTGACGAAAGTTGACTGAGGCGGTTGTCAGGAGTCATCATACGGATCACATGGTGGCTCTTTCATGACGGGAGACCGCCCGACCACTCCTGGGTGGCACTGCCACCGGTGTCGCTCGACGTCCTGTCGACAGCGTGCCGACAGCGACACAGACCATGTGGGACGCGTCGAGTATCGACCTCTACTGCTTACCCAGCCTTCGAGTGTATCCTGGCCGTGGTCCCACACCCACTGGTGTCCATCTCAGAGACCGCAGGAGGTCATGAGGGTCGATGGGAGTGCCAACCACCCCACAATGCCTAAAGACCCAGCCCAGTAATAAATCATATCCCCCCACTCCCCGGCCCACTGCCAGTGCCACTCTTCAGTCACTCTTCCTCTGACCTCTCTCCCCCCAATCTAGTAGCTAAGTGCTAGAACCTCGAGATCTCTCGTACGTTATTTGTCGTGCTGGAATAGACGTAGTACACGCGGGTATAGGAGAGGGTGTGCAGGTGCCGACCCCGTACCCCGATGGGGCCCGATGCCGAAGCCTCACACGCCTCACGGCAACACACTCTGACACACCGCAGAGGCGCAGTGGCTCTGCCCCCTCAGCGCCTGCGGGTCGGTGTGTGGGTGTGCAGTGTGGGCCCTGTCTCGCCGTCCTCTGTGCGCGCCCGCGCGCCCGCAGTGTACTGCAGCTCTCGAGCGCCACCACGAGGCTCACTCTCGCAGATAGCGCGCTCCGCTCGCCAAAGTGGCCCATTCTCTCTGCGCTAAAAAGTCCATCAGGCCAGCGCCTCCTCCTCCTCCGCTTCCTCGTCCTCGTCGTCGTCGTCAAATCCGAGCGAAGCCCCGCGCGCGTCGGCGGTCGCCCCGAGGCCGGGCGCCGTCGGCGGCTCGGGAGTTGGCGGCGCGCGACCCTGTGCGGCGGCGCCCCTGTGTACGCGCAGCGCGGCGGAGGAGGGCGCGAACACGAGGTCGTCGGCCGAATCGCCGGTGCGGGAGATGGCGGCGGCGATGGTCTGCAGGTCCGAGACGAGGACCCTCTCCGGCTCAGAGGGCATCTCGGGGTCACCCTGCGAGAGGGAGATGTTGCGAAACATGTTGAGCGCGTCCGCCTTGCGGAAGAAGAGGATGCGCCTGCGTGGGACATGTGCATGTGCATGTGCATGTTGCACAATGTGCATGTGCATGTGCATGTGCATGTGCATGTGCATGTGCATGTGCATGTGCATGTGCATGTGCATGTGCATGTGCATGTGCATGTGCATGTGCATGTGCATGTGCATGTGCATGTGCATGTGCATGCATGTCGCGCATGTCGCGCATGTGTGGGGGGCGTGTCATGCGGAGGCGTCATGTGCATGTGCATGCATGTCGCGCATGTCGCGGATGTGTGGGGGGCGTGTCATGCGGAGGCGTCATGTGCATGTGCATGCATGTCGCGCATGTCGCGCATGTGTGGGGGGCGTGTCATGCGGAGGCGTCCGCTTGGCGGAGAAGGAGAGGCGTGCGCCTCTGCTTGCCCGAAGCGGACTGCGCGAGGAGCGAGGGGATGTGGAAGATTGGGACGAGGCCCGACGCAGCGGAGAGCACGTCCGGGGGGGGCAGCTCTGGCATCAGCTCCGTCGCTGCGGTGACGGCGCCCATGGTTGGGATGAGCACAAAGCGGTCGCGCACCTGAGCAGATGCGTGGACGGCGTCGGGAGTGCGCCGTGCTCGGGGGAGGGGAAGGCAGCCCGCGTGCCTTTGCGGCGCGTGCCTCCTCCGAGGAATAGGCGGCGATGACCTGCGACAGTGGATGGCGCAGTCAGGCGTGCGGGCCTCGGAAGAGAGTCTGCGCCCGTCTGCGCCGCGAGGGCCTGCGAGAGCGACAGCGCCGCCACCTGAAGCTGCGCGTCCGGCGAGTGCTGCTGCAGCCGACGCCGGAAGAGCTCGGCGTCCATCGCCTCCACGAAGAAGTAGGCGATACGTTCGCTGTCCCCGTGCGGCACCGAGATTGGCTCCGAGGTGTTGCCGAATGCGACGAAGAAGGCGGGCACGTTGACGAGCTCCGCGGTGAGGCAGGTGAGATCTTCGGAGAGCCGCCCGATCTGGGCGAGTCGCTCAGGGGAGAGCGTCAGCCGCGCGCCATCTCCGCCCTCCGCCTGCTGCTCCACGGCGCCGTCGCTGCTGCCGGCCGCCGCCGCAGCCGGGTGCCCTTTGGATGTGGTCCCGGCCGTCGCCTCGCCCGCCGCAGATGCCGCTGCCTCGACCTCGGCCGCCTCTCCGGAGCCACGGCCGAGCAGCCGTGCAGAAAGCCGGTAACAGAGAGGCGCCGCCGCAAGGACAGCGCCGGCCCCGGTGACGCGGGCCAGCGGGATGCGGCGTCGGGCGGGCCCGGACGGCGGGTCAGGGTCGGCCGCGACCGGCGGCGCGGGCTGCAGGCGGGCGGCATGGCCGCCGACGAGTGAGAGGAGAAGCAAGACCGCAGGTCGGGAACGCGCCGCCACCAGCTCGACCATGATCCCTGTCGGTGGCGGCCGCGTGGAGAGGAAGAAAATCGAGCAAGGTCAAGACCTTACGCTGTGGCAGACCTGCTTGGGGGTATGCTTGGGCTAGCCTTAGCGCACCATACCATACCCTGGAAAAAGTTGGAACCCAGCGGCGCCAGCGATGGACCTGACGGAAGCCAAGGCGCTGGAGCTGAACAAGGCGCTCAGCGGGGCCCTCGACCGGCAGGACTGGGCGATCACTCGCGATCTCCTGCAGCAGCTGCAGTCCGCGGATGCCAGCAACAAACTGAAGGCCGCCAGCTCGGCTCCATGTCGCCTCCTCCCCGCACTGCATGAAGCCGCGCACGCGCTCTCAGGTGCTGGGCACAACCAAGCTGAGCAAGACGGTCTTCAAGCTGAGCAAGGCGAGCGACACCGCGACGGCTGACGCGGCCGCAGAACTCGTCCAAAAGTGGCGGCAGCTGCTCAAGCCGGCTGAGAAGGTCGGCGAAAAGCGGCCGCGAGAGCAGAGCCCCCCGCCGCCGCAGGTCAAGCACGAGGCTGCGAAGCCGGAGCCGGCCGCGGAGGCCCCGGCCCCGCCGGCCCCAAGCGGCAGCGGCCACAGCAGCGGCGGCGTGGGCGGCGGCAGCGGCAGTGCAAGCGGCGGAAGCGGCGGCGGCGTGCTGGCCAAGACTGGGGAGCCGACTCGCGACATGGTGCGCGCGAAGCTGCGCGACGCATTCGCGAAGGGCATCTCGGACAACGTCAAACTGCTGCGCGAGCTCGATGTCGACCCGTGCTCGCTCGCCGCCGAGTGCGAGGAGGCGATGGCCGCCAAGTTTGGAGGCGGGCGCGGGTGTCACCAGCCTTCCTGCGCCCGGCATTTCCCTGACCCCGGACCGGCGAACCTAGGCGTTGGCAAAGACTACCAGGCGCGATTCCGCTCGCTGATCTTCAACCTCAAGGACCCGAAGAACCCCGAGTTTAGCCGCGCCGTCGTGCTGGGCCAGCTGCACGTTGGCGAGCCAGCCCAAGGGAGAGGGGAGAGCGGCGGTTCGCTTCGTTGCGTTTGCGGGGAGAGCAGCTGCCTCTGACCCCCCTTCTTCTCCCTCTCTTTGTACCCCCCACGCACGCATTCGGCAGGCTCGCTGTGCGAGATGGACGTCAAGGAGATGGCCTCCGCCGAGGTGAAGAAGCAGCGGCACGACTGGTCCGAACACGCCAAGATGGCCCTCATGGACGAGCAGACCTACAACCAGTACACAGGCGGGCGCCCACCCACAGCCTCGGCACACTACCGTACAGCTGCAGCTGCACCAACCCCCCCCCCCCACCCCACCCACCCCCTCTCCTCCCAGGCAAGCAAGTCCAGGACGGCATCCTCAAGTGCGGCATGCGCCCGCGAAGACGCTCACACGCACGCGCACGCGCACGCGCACGCGCGCACGCACGCGCACAACAACAACAAACACGCGCGCGCGCACACACACGCACGCACGCACGCACGCACGCACACGCACGCACGCACGCACGCACACACACACACACACACACACACACCAGGCACATCGCCACCCCCCCCCCCCCCCCCCCAAAAGGGGAAAATGGAAAATGATAAGGGGCCCCAAGGGCAAGCCGAAGAAAACGAGCTACCTCTGGGTTCCCGCCACCCACAAACGCCAACCCAGGGCGCCCCCAGAGGCCCCCCCCCCCACCGCTGTGCCGGGGACCAGGGGCCAACCCGCCCGGCAAAAAATCCGACCACCAAGAAGGCCCTTGTCACAAACTGGACGTGGCCGCACTTGCACC